CTCAAATGATATACCACATTCTAATCCTTTCTTTGCCTCCATAATATCTTTTTTTAGGTGTTTTAATGATTCTAATGGACCTATTTTTATTTTTAAGACAGAAGCTTAGTTGCATAGATCAGCTCTTAAATCATTATAATTTTAGTAATAAGCTTACCTTCCCATATTTGTTTGTTATTTCTTGTTATTCTCACTTTTTGATTCTTAAAAATTGCTCCATTAACAATTCTACAACCAGCCACTGGCCTAAATTCTCTATTTTTAACATTGATCTGAAAAACCTGTAATATTGTTGCTTCACCTGTAATACTTGTTTCCAATACAGGTGGTAACATCTTACTTAACCTGTTTTTTATACCATCCAAAAGTTTATAAATGATATTGTAACACATTATTTCAACATGTTCTGTTTGAGCTAAAGAACTTGCTCTCTTATCAACCTTAACATTGAATCCTAATATTGCTCCTAAAACAAAAATAAGTTGTTACAATTTGAAATAAAAATTTCTAAAATATACGGACATAAACATTTCATACCCTGTGCTGCAGCAGCCATTTGAACATCTGACTCGCTAACATCACCCACTCCAGAATCTACCACATTCACGTGAACCTCTTTGTTCCCAATAGAATCTAGGGAATCGATGATAGCTTCAATTGATCCACTTACATCACCTAAAAATATTTATTAATTAATGGCCAAATATAAATTACAATTTAATAACAATAAAAAAAAAAAAAACCTTTAACGACCAATCTTAATTCTTTTATTTGGTTTTCATCAGGCTTTACTTCCATATTTGAAGACGGTGGTGATGGCATAGTAGGGTATTCTTTAATCATCCCACGATGAAACATCCATACTTTCCTTTTGAAATCTCTGATCGCAGCCTGATCAACTTCTAGCTCCTTCTTACGCTGCCTCCTCTTTTCTTTAATAACTTCTAGATCTTTTATCTGATTCTCACGTTCTATCTTTCTCAATCGATTAGCAACTACAGTTTTAGCAAGTTCCTATAAGAATGAAATAACATTTTATTTATGTAGTTTGTGATTATTAATTTAACCTCATGCACGACAATTACTTCATCTTTAGCCTGAAGGACTTCATCACCAGAGTTTGGCGTTTCCCTCCAACCCATGACTTTTACGGGGGTGCCAGGTGGTGCTTGCTTAAGCGATTGCCCTTTATAATCGCTCATCATTCGAACTTTACACCAACTAGTGCCTGCTACAATAACATCGCCTTGCCTTAAGGTTCCGCGTTTAACCAATACTGTCGCAACATTACTGATAAAGAAAGACAATTAAGTGTAAATTAAAAAATAAATCCAATTAATCACAAAATTTTAAATATGTCTTGGGTGAATTACCCTTTGCCTTTTTCTATTTGTGATTCAATAATAACACCTTCTGCTTCAATATCAACTTCAGCACGATAGTCATTTAACTCTGCCAATGCTATTATAGCTTCTTCTAATGTATCCAAACCTTTTCCCTGAATAAATATGTTCCTTAATAAAAAAAATCTGTAATTAATTAAACACATGCTAAATTGAAATAAATACTCACAGTTAAGGCAGAGATTTCAACACATTGAGTATCACCTCCAAACTCTTCAAGTTCTATACCATGCCTCATGAGAGAATCGCGTACTTTTCTCTACACAGTATTTATTTATATCAAACATTATCACACATAAAATATAGAATTCACATATTTACATGTTTACATACCACATTTGCATTATGTTTATCAATCTTGTTAATTGCTACAATTATGGGCACTAGTTAAAATGAATAGTAATAAAAAAAATTAACTCATTCGCCAGAATAAAGAAAATATATATAGTCGACTCTCTTTTGCTAAGCATAAAAATTTTGATATAAAAAGAAAAATAAAATCCTGCATTTAAAAAACATAGAATTTGTATTGTTCAATATACGGGAACAAAAGATGGCCTTGCATTTTGAGAAAATTTTATTGAGTTGCATTTGGAGAAAATTGACTATATATATGTGTGTATATATATATACATGTATCAAATGCTTTGATTCAAAGTTACCTCCAGCATCCTTAGCATGCTTTATTGCTTCCAATGTTTGTGGCATCACACCATCATCAGCAGCAACAACAAGGACAACAATATCAGTTACGTGCGCACCTCTAGAACGCATAGCAGAAAATGCAGCATGGCCAGGAGTATCAAGAAATGTAATGGTATTTTGTGATGGTAATGAAACTGTTTGAAATATTTACAAACTAAATAAATAATGAAAATATATATAACTTTGTAAAATCTTTAATCTGTAGTCAGGTACCAGAAAAAGCACCAATGTGCTGAGTTATTCCGCCAAATTCACTAGCTGCTATTGATGTTTTCCGCAAAGCATCTAGCAATGTAGTTTTTCCTGGTTTAAATAGAGAAATCATCAAATAATGCCAAACCATATAATTTGACTATACAAAATGACATAATGTATGAATACCATGATCGACATGCCCCATAATGGTCACTATTGGTGGTCGAAGTGGATATATAGACATGTCTTTTGGCATTGCTCTTAATTTTATATAAAAAAAATTGAATTATTATATTAAATACCATTTCAAAATATGAGCAATTAAACAACCATGTACTACTTTGGAAAAAGGTCAATTTCAGCAACCGAATCAACTATGGGATTTAGATCATATTCCATCGCAATTTGCGATAGGGAAGAATTTGTCTTTTTTTCAAACAAATCGTCAGATAATTTTGGTTGTTTTTGTGTAAAATCGTCATCAACAACATCGAAAAGTTTTTTTGGATTGGCCCATTTATTTATATCAGATTTTTTTTTTAAATGATTGAGCGCTTTTTCAATTTTAAAATTTTTATCCTCAGGATCCAAAGGAGTCAACAAATTGGGGTCTCTCTTAGGCTTACGATTACGATTATATTTCAGAACGCATGATGTAGTATGGATGGACGATGATGCAGGACGAAACTAGGTTGAAATATATGCGATAATTGTTAGTAAATCGTGGCAGCACCAACCCATTTCCAATAAAATAAAATAAAACTTGTGTAAAACCTTTATCAAAAGAACAAATTAACTCCATATATATGCATATATAGTGTTTGTAAAGAGTGTTTTTTTTTATTTGTGCTCACCCGAACTTTCAATAAAAATTTCAATGTTTGCGAAGAATCTCGCCAATTTAAGACTCTGCAAAAATTTTTTCTGAAATACATCCTAACAAAAAAAATATAATTCTATGTGATCAATTATTGCTTTATTAAGAACCTAAAACCGGATGATCTGCAGATTCGAACAAGTCTACACCTCAAAAAATAATCTATCTAATCTTACTTTCTCAAGCCACAAATGACTGAAGGTATTCGTATAATTTTTCTATTTTTTTCAACTTACAAAATTCTTACACATTTACGTTATTGATTATATTAGTTTAAAAAAATAAACACAATATGATAGAGTTTTTAATCTCGTTTAAACTCTTTTTACATTTCCTAAAATCTCGGCCCAAGAATTGCAAAAAAATGACGTTTGAAAAACATAATACTATTAATTGTTCACAACATGAAATGAATTCCCTTCATTATACGAATTCCTCTTACAATAATGAAGGTTATAACAATGAAACTCAAAATTGCGACGAAGTCAAGCAACAAATTAATACGAATAAACCTAAATTTCTTCCAGAGGATGTTAAATGGGATGGAAATGTTGAAGTAACAGATATCGATTGGAGCGTGTCGTTTATGAAGCCATCGACCGGGCTTCCTACTTATCCTATCAATATGATTGACTTCTCGGATGGCAAAATTCGTGAAAGAGATATTCAATGGCCAGATAACAATGATAATCTTGATAACAATTTTCAACAAAAAGATGTCATTGAACCTTCAATATCTATGGAATCTTCTGTTGAACCTTCAATATCTGTGGAATCTTCCGTTGAATCTTCAATATCTGTTGAATGTTTTGTTGAATCTTCGATATCAGTTGAATCTTTCGTTGAATCTTCAATACCTGTCGAATCTTTCGTTGAATCTTCAATACCTGTCGAATCTTTCGTTGAATCTTCAATACCTGTTGAATCTTCCGTTGAATCTTCAATACCTGTTGAATCTTCCGTTGAACTTTCAATACCTGATCCTGACACTACATCAAGTACAATAATTGATCTGGCCCATGAAATTAAATCTATTGCCATCAACGATGACGATATAGAATTCAGTGAAATTTGCACGCAAGAAGTATCCCATAATTCGATCAATGATGTGTATGATTTATATGGTGACTCTGAACATTCAGAATTATTCGGCGACTCTGAACATTCAGAATTATATGGAGAAGATATCCATCATGTTAATGAAGCAGATAGTTGGTCAGAAAGTTCACATACGCTACAAACCAAAGATGTTCCTGATCAAAATAATTCCGAATCCAATGACATTCAGCAGAGTTCTAAATCGAATTATTATTATATCCGACGCCGACGTCGTCCACGCAGTTATCTAGAGCAACGTAAAGATCCAAGATATAATCCTGATGCAAATCATTGGAAGAGTGATGCGGACTATTTATCATTTGATGGCCAAGAACGGAGTGATCCTGAAAAACGAGAAAACGAAAAGTACGATGCTGTTATCCAAGCTGCATTGG